ATTCGTGGACCTGATTTGGTCTATGGCTTAGGCTCTGCACCGTTCAACTGGCCCATGCACTGATCCCACACCACATATCTGACCCATGGGGCCAGATGAATTTGACACTCCTAGCCTAGGTCTTATCTCCCACAATTAAGTTAGTTGCTCTAACTTGTCTAGACTCAAGACAAGCTCGGAAAATGCCATCTCTTAACTTTCACTTGCTTTATGACTATGGAAAAATAATAGAGCAGTTCTGTTGCAGATAACTCAGACCACAGCAGGTCAGAATGTTTTTGACACTGGGTCAAAATCTTGGGGTTTAGCTTGTGAATCGGGTGTTTGCACATCCAACTGCCCTGTTGCACTCCAGTTGAGAATCAGTGGATTTGGTCTGGTATGTAACTGCCCTTTTCAGCATGGGGCAGGGACTTGGGTGTGAATGACCATGTAGGAGCTACTGAAGTCAGTTTTATTTGGCTCTCCAGGTCTCAGTGGCTGTACCGTTCTTCCAGCATTCCAGCTGGACCCCTTGTCTGGTTCCAAGTAACAGTGCTGGGAGCAAGCACTATGATACAGTTAACTTAGTGAGAAAATCTGAAGGAAAAGAGGTGGCTGCAGAGATGCAGGAGAAACACAGTGCAGATACCTGGCTGTATCAAATAACTGCTCTGTGGAAAAAATGTTAGACTTCTTTGAACATGTGGGGTGGAGGGAACACTCAATTGGTCATTCTTAGAATCTTGGAGCACGTGGGGCCATGGTCAAGGTGATAGAAAAGCTGTTTGAGTCTAAGACTGTCAGATTCAGCACATGATGCTGCTTTGGTTAACCCTGCACACAGCACTGGATGCATCTTCCTGGACAAGATAGAAATCTGTTTTAACTGGATTATATCCTATAGCAAAGTATGCATTCCGTGGAAAATCCTATAGTCATGGTGTGTATATATATCATGGACCCCTGTCCATGATTTCCTTAAGGAAGCAGGTACTACAGATTTTGTTTTTGGCTTCTGCGGTAGGAGCATGAAGGTGATATTGGGTATAGTCTATGACTTTATCATATATAGTGTTTTTGATGCTTTGTATACTTCATATCTCTCTGAATGTCTTAGCTTGCCAAGTTATACCCAAGTACTAAAGAGACCACAGGATGGTGTGTGGAGCTGTTTAACAATGTACACTTGAGTACATGGAGCATTTGATGACTAACCACATAATGTAGTGTTGAATCTGATTTCTCCCCTGCTCCCTGCCATTACTGTGTAGCAAGTTAAACACTTAAAGTAGGTGTTGGATCTCTACCAAAAAGCCTGTCTGTCTTCGTGTTGGGTACTGAAGTAGGATGCTAACAGGATCCTATTATGGAGTTTAGTACTGTGTTAAAATAGCAGTATCCAGAGTAGCACAAATGAAGTCCTGAGTATGTAGGCAAAGCTAATTTTTAACTCCTGAATAATGTTAAGCTTTTGGACAGTGCTAATTTATAGGTCACGGGCATGATACAGAGGAAGGAAAATATTCTTTGGAGGTAGAAAATGAGGCATAAACTGACTTTCATACAGCAGGTCAAACAGCAGACTTAGAAACAACTTGCTGGTTTTTACTTCACTCTGTTCACAAAATTGCAATGGCAAATACTTAAAAAGTACTACTTGGGATAAGTGCATACATTTCCAAAGCTGAGCTTTTAAAAGCTGTGATGTTTTATGTAGACAGTTACACTTTGGGGACCTTTTGTATCGGGGTGGGCGAAATGTTGTTTCTGTCTGGTGACCAGACTCTGTTTCCCAGCAGCCTGTGCTTGCGTTGCAGTGGATGGTTTCCATAGAGACCCCAGTAGTGGCAGTGCTGAGCATTCCTTCCCCGCTCCCAGATCTAGGGTGTATGGGCAGCGGATTGCAGCCCTGCTTTGCTCCGGACCACACTGTCACTGCTGCAAGATCCCAGCTTCAGTCCTGGAGCAGCTCCCTGCCCAGCTGTGCACCCTGCCAGTGCTGCTGAGGCCAGTCTCCATGGAAACCCTGTCCCTGAACTATCATGGCACTGCTGCTGCTGTCTCCATGGAAACTAGCCATCTGATGCAGGCACCAGTGCCGGGAAATGGAGTCTGCTGCAGGGCCAGTCTGGCTTGCAGGCTGGACTTTGCCTGCCCCTGTTTTATGTGGTCCCAGGGTGCATAAAAATCAACAATTAAAAAAAAAATTGGATTTTTTATTTAAATCAGATTTTTTTTTTAATATCATCATGGGATAGGGATTATAACTTCTAATATTATCCTATTTGAGACCATATGTTCATGTAACCTTTTTAGAAGTTTTATAAATAGGTCCCAACAGGCCATGGACTATATTAAGGGCCTAATCTTATGGGGGTTCCCAGAGGCTCCTCTATAGATTAGTAAAGATTAAAGAAAACCATTTTACCTAGTGGAATTCAGTGCTCAATCTAGAAGATCCCATTAAGCATGTCTGATGCTTAGTTTCAGTTCTCAAATCGTGGATTTATGTCTCCAGAGATCATAGGCAGACAAGGTTCTTTGGGTAGATGTGGTATCTTTTATTAGACCAACTGAATGGTTGGAAAAATTATTCTTTGTGAGCTTTTGGGCACAAATGCCCTTCTTCAGGCTTAGAGAGAGTTTGCTGCCTCCAGAGATAACATCCTTGTTAACAATAGTATATAGAAATGAGAGATAACAGACCTGATTACCCACCTGTCAGCCCTGTTGTCTCCCTGCAAGTTTGTGTACGCACAGTCAAGCCCTTACTTTTATCTAAAAGTGCAAAGCTTCAAGAATTCAAATGAATAAATGAAATCAAACAACAAGAATGCACTTTTTGCAGAAAACTGATTCAATCAAGGGTTATTAACCAGTTATATAAATTGTGATTTTTAAATTGTGATTTACATAGATTTAATTTAAATCAAATCCACCTTGTGTGGTCCTTTAAAATATCTTCTTGGAGAGAGAAAGTATGTGAAAAGCTGATCTTTGCAACATGCTAACAAAAAAATGGCCACACTTCATGTGGTTTTTTAATGGGGTTTCCAGATATGTCCAGCTGATTTGGGAATACAAATCACAAGTAAAGTCTGTTAGACCTCCTGAAAATCCCACTCTTTATCCACAGAAAACCTCTCTCCATCTTTTATGATAAATTATATTGAC